TCAAACATATTCGGAACCAGCGTGGCCGATAGACAAATAATCCAACCCAAGCCACTTGATTTTGAAAACTTTTGCCAAACTGTCACTCCCTACTCAGCACTATCCCCATGGAAAAGCGGCACACCGGTATCAAGGAAGTGGACTTCACCTAAGACAATTTGCCCTCAGAGAGAGCCCTGGGAGTGATGTGAAATTTGGAAAACGACCAGTTTGCTGCAAAGGTAAAGTTCATCTTCCAGAACGAGTGCAGGAGACAAGAAAATTGGGACTTACCTCTTCTTGACCACAACCTAGACTTGTGACAGTGTTGGTTGTCGGACCTGAAACTCCTGCAGGACTTCAAGATTCCACGCTGCTATACACAAGTTGGTCTGAGCCGCACTCAGTTGCACCACATATGTGACGCTTCACAATTAGCTTATGCAGTTGTCACCTACCTGAGGACTGTAGACCATGAAGGAAGAATTAACCTTGGTGTGTGGCAGAGCCCGACTAGCATCTTTAAAGCAACAAACCATACCACGGCTAGAACTTTATGCTGCCATACAGGAAGCACATGCTGACACAACAGTTCGACAAACTCAGTGTACCACTGGTAGACTCTGTGTTTTGGACGGATAGTATGATAGTGTTGAAGTATATTGGTAACGCTGGGAAACGCTTCCACACCTTTGTTGCAAACAGAATGTCGGCTATATGAGAGCTCACGGACATGAGGAAATGGAGACATGTCAGCTCAGAGCAGAGCCCGGCAGATGATGCAACACGAGGAGTAACCGCCTTTCAGATGCTGGAAGATTGTCCCGGGTCCATGGTTTTTAGGCTACCTCCCAAGCATTGGCCAAAGGCACCGCAAGTTGACACGGAGCTCGAGGGCGATCCTGAAGTGAAAGGGGACGTGACTTCACTGACCTCCATAGTAGACAGAACCAAAGAACCCTTGCAGTGCCTGTGGGAAAAGTACTCCTCTTGGCTCCAGCTTGAAAGAGGAGTAGCTTGGATTCGGAGGGTTATCAACATCGTTAAAGATAAAACACCAACAGCAAACATCACCGAGTTAAGTGTTTCAGAGTTACGTCAAGCAAAGACAGGAATGTTTAGAGTGATACAGAGAGAGCGGTACCAACAAGAAATGAAGCTCATTGCAAAAAGAAAAAAAAGGTTGACACGCCAGAGTGAACTTTATCGCCTAGAACCATACATGTCTAAGGATGGCCTGATGAGGGTTGGAGGAAGGCTACACCGTGAATGGGCGGCGACACATGATGGGCCAATACTGCTTCCACGTGAACGTCCGATGACTACGCTAATTGTAAGAGAAATACATACAGTACATGCAGGACATTCTGAAAGGGAACACACGCCTTAATTGTTGCGTCAAAATTTCTGGACACCTACTGTAAGTGTCGTGTTCTGCTGAATAAGATCTCCAAGGCATGCACTGTCTGTAGTCGCAACAACTGGGTGCCCATGCATCAAAGTCAACGATCTTATTCTCATTACCGGAGAAACCCTTCCTCGTGGCATGTGGCCCCTTGGTCGGGTTGTCGAAGCGATTGCTAGTGCAGATGGTCTCGTCCTTCAGGTTCGTGTTCACACTGCTGTCCGCGAGTTTCTCCGACCTGTTACCAAGATCTGTTTCCTCGAGGGCACCGTTTAATGTTCTGAGTTTTGGGCATGAGCCCAACGAGGGGAGTGTTATCGCCGTCCTCGTATACCGCTGCCCTAGAATGCCGCGACCCCTGAACCCATCTTACGCCGCGACCTCTGAACCCATCTGGTCGCACGACCTGTGATCTCGCCAGATGTGTGTGGACGCATAACAAGTTGTTGTTGATAGATAGGGCTCGGGACGCCTCTGGTTGGCAGTATTAGTCCAGCTCCCTTTGAGTATACACACTGGTAACTAGAAATTACTTGGAGAAATACTAGGAATTAAGAGGAGCTATAAGCCCACACACATGAGTGAAAGATCACAGTGAATGTTTGTATTATGGTGAAATGCTGTGAACTACATCCGTGCATAGTGTAAGACAATTCGGGTAATAACCATGCAGTGTACTTACTAACTGACGTATATTGTATACATGTAATGGAATGTAATCAGTAGTTAACGAGTGTCTCACTTTTACAGGCTTTGACCATATCAACCAATAAACGTTGCGTGAGTCCACGTTGCGGGTTTATCTCACCCTTAAGATGTGACGTCATCTAACCCTCGAGCCATTCGGCGGTTAAAGAGTACCTTTGTTATATCACCTTTGTTTAACCCTGACTTCCATTTATACACCTTGATCATATCGCCCCTCACTCTACGTTTCTCGAGGGTGTGCAGATTAGGATGCTTTAAACTGTCTCTGTACAGAAGGTTCCTAATGCCCAGGATTAGTCTTGTCATTCTCCTCTGAATTCTTTCTCGGGATTCTATATCCATTCTGTAGGTGACCGACGCTTCTTCCGCAGAGGGTTATGCAGCCAGACCTTATCACTATCCTTGTAACAGACCTTGCTTACTTTGACATCATGGTTGCACTTCATCACTTCACCCGAGAACTCCAGAGCTCTTTGAGCTTGATGGTGGATCTTTGTCAACCTTTCTTGGAAGCTTTTGAAGTAACTGGTGGTGTCTTCAGGAAGTTCTTCATCAGATGGTCTTCCTGTCAGCAGATCCACTGGCAGCCGCAGTTCGAGACCCAGCATCAGTTTTGCCGGTGTGTATCCAGTTAAATCGTGGGCAGCCAACCGATATGCCACCAACAGAGCAGGCAGCTTCTGGTCCCAAGGTCCAATTAAACTTTTCAACCAATCCGTCTGACTGTGGCCGAAGTGGAATGGTCCTAGTCTTCCTTATGCCCAACAGTTTACAGCATTTGCTGAACACAGCTGACTTAAAATTTCTGCCCTGGTCCAAGTGCAACTCGTGGGGCACACCAAACCGGCAGAAGAACTGGTTCCACCAGCACCCTGGCAACAGTCGTGGCTTCCTTATTTGGGATAGTATAAGCTTCTGGCAATTAGTGAAGTAATCCATGGCCACACAGATGTACCTATTACCATCTGCAGAGGGTGGCAGAGGTTCCGCAATATCCACTGCGATCCTCTCCATTGGTGCACCTGCATGGTGCAGCTCCAGTGGGGCACGCGTGTGTAGCTTTCATTCCTTCTTGGCGCAGCAGACATCGCATGACCGGCACCATTCTTCCACATCCTTACGCATGCCAACCCAGTAAAACCTTTGCCGCAGACGACTCAGGATCTTCTTCACTCACAGATGTCCACTGGTTAGATTGTTGTACACCTGCATCAGGATCTCTGACTTCATCTTCTAGGGAAGTACTGTCTGCCAGTACTTGTTGAGGCCATCGGTAGTCACCCACTGGCCCTACAGCAGCCGAAGAGCATCCCACTGCGTCCAGTAGTTTTTAGTTGTCTGACTTGCTGCACTGAGCTCTGGTTCATCCACTCGACCACTGATCGCAGGTCTTAGTCTTCCAGCTTCAGTGTCTTAAGGCCTTCCCCAACAACGGCTGGAACCTCCTCCACTGTAGTGCGACTACACTTCTTAGGAACTGCCCTTTTCTTGTAACTCTGCTGACAATCAGGCATCACTATTCCCGGACGGGTATGCAAGGCACCGTTCACCTTGCGTGGAAACCGCACTTCTAATTTTGTGGGAATATCTACTTTCCGCGTAGCTGTAACCGTAGCACCTGTATGCTTCACAGTTTTCAGCGGTACCCGCTTTCCTCTTATTGTCAACTGCATCGAGCCAATGTCCAGTTGATACTTGCGAGGTAAGAGGTAGTCCAGACCTAGGATGCAAGGGTCTTCGATATCCGCTGCAAAAACCTGTAGGGTATCTTCTTCCTCTCCTAGCTTGATGCTGATGTCCACTGGTCCTTTTAGCACTGCGCATTGTCCAGTTATCACGCGCAACTGTTGCGACGTCCCAGGTAGTTTTCGATGACTAATAATATTAAAGGAAATGATATTAAAGGAAAAAAATAAATTATTCTGATATAAGTAGAACTTAAGAAGCGTGTGACGTATGGTATGTGCATGACATGATGAACTTTGATAAGAAGTGCATCATGTAAAACAACAAGCACAATATTTGAATTATGTACTGTAGGAGGAGGGAAATATTACAATTACTTGACAAACCACCGGAGATATCAAAAGTGTATGATACAACAGAAAACATAACAAGTTCCATATGCAATAGGAGGCATAGCAAATTATTTTTACAATAAAATACAGTATATAACAAGTTCGTTATACACCAGGAGTTATGAAAAGATCATTATACAACCTGGTATATAAAAATATTACACAACAGGATAATATATAACTAGTTTATTGTACAATAGGATATATAACAAGATCATTTATACAACAAGACTTATGCGACTTGTATAATACAACAGGGATAACCAGAGTTTTACGTGACAACTGAATGTTATATAAGAGGCATAAAGTGAAAAATGAGATAAAAGGTGAATGTTGCAATAGGAGGTAAACTATGGAACAAATTAATTAAGCATGGCTTTTACAAGTTTATTATTAATATATAAGGTATTCTTGTTTCTTTGTTGCTATATTTTATTTATTGCTTTGTTGTTTATTTTATCAGTAATTGTTGACTTACATCTTCTCCTTTATGTATATGGATCATGTGGTTAAATGCTCTAAGAAACTGTTATAGTACTACATTCTGGTGACATTTTCCCGTTAAGGAAAGAATAGTTTAAACACCCATAATCAACGCCAAATTTATACCTCTTATTATGAAGGCAAAGTCAATAAATTCTCAGTTTACTAAGAATAGAATACACTGGAGTATATATCTTAAATACACAAATATATACAAACACAGATTTTGTCTGTATTTTCCTTCCGCAGCAACACCATGAGTCAATAACCGTTACGGTCGTTGACTCAATTACTAGTATAATAGAATTACAGTGCCAGTGAATTTTGCCTCTCAACATACACAAAGTTCATTTACCCTGTACCGTTTGCTGCACACCTGTATATTTTTTTTTCTATCGAATCTGCGCATGTGCTATTCGTTCACGTCTGTCTTTAAAAGGTACAGTGACGGAGTAGAGACACAGTTGGCTGTAAACCCACGATGATGGCGTTAACACTGAGAACGCTGGTAATAGTTCTGCTGGTGGCAGTTTTCTCCACCTCAGTTCAGGTTAGTGAGTGAAGTCTTTGGTAGTAAAACACCAGCAACGCAACATTTCTCTGGTGTATATCAGGTCTACGGTCCTAATTAAGGATCACATACACGATTTACATAAATTCTACGTAAGTTCATTATCCTCATCAAACTGTTATCGAGGTAATGTTCAATGTCTTCAGAATACTCCGTCTTTCTTCTCCATCATATTGAAGATATCTGGAAATGTGATATTGGATATCTAACTGGCTGTAGATATTTTGTCTAGGTGTTCACCTGAAAATATACTTAGCTCCTGTCGATCTGTGTGTCTAATAATAGGCTAATATTTCACAGAAGTTGATTAAATTAGCATGTAGTAATGGCTGTGATGGTAGATGTAAGGAAGTAATCAACACGATAATAGGGAAAGCAAAAACAGCATTTAACAATTTAAAAGGTCCAATGAAAATAAATATTAACTTCAAATTGAGAAAGAGGCTCCCGAGGGACTTTATATGACAAGGACAGAAGCGTGGACACTTTCAGCAGACACCAGATAGAGGTAGGAAACCTTCGAATGTGGTGTTATTAACGAATGATAAGTTTTCCAAGTTTAGAAGCTCCAAAAGTTGATAAGAATACACTGAGCAGGAGAGTTAAACTATTTGTTGTGTTAATAATGGAGGCGGTGCTAAGATTCATCTGTGGAAGAGTCCTTTGACTAACACAAAGGAAATGTAAAGTTTACCTTTCCTTTCTTTGTCAATTGTATCTTCAGTACTTCAAGAACATTTAGTAACTCGTTGAACAATACCAAATTAGCCAAATTATATAAATCTTGCTCATCTTCTGTTAAGCTAACAGGGCTAGTAGGTGGTTTCCACTGTCGATTTCTATCTATCTATCTATCTATCTATCTATCTATCCTTCTATCTATCTATCTATCTGTTGTGTGTCTGTCTGTCTGTCTGTCTATAAAAGAACTGTCTTGAAGATAAAAATCGTGCGGAGGTGAGGAGAGAGCCCCGATGGGTATGGGTAATTTTTGTACATGTTAAAAGCTATAGATATCAAACACACGTTTCTTTATTTCGTGAGGATTATATAATATGATCATGGGTTGTGGGATGTATATATGATTTTGTTTTTCATATAAATCTGAGCTGGAGGAACGTTACAGGATTTGATCACTATTCGTGGATAATCCAACCATTTGACAACGAATTAGTCTTTATGTAGAGTAGGGCGGCTTACTATGAAAGAGTGATAGAAAGCATTAATATTTTCAATACACTAATTTCATGTATAGGTTATAGCAATAATACCCGATTTGTCCATTGGTTACGTATTCTTAATTTACCTCCTACATCCACTCTTTTCTATATATTCCTAAAATTAATTTGGGTAAGTCATTACTTCATCATAAATCGCGTACACACCATCTATGTTTGTCTTTGATACCCCCAAAATGTTCTACACTACTGAGGGTATACACAAACACTTGTTATCTTGAAATAGGTTCTTATTCTCGTACGGGAAATATACAGAGGCACAAATAAGACAGAGCGCTTCCACACCTCAAGGACTGGTGATCTTCACTGTCTGTATCACTACGCGCTGGCATGTACAGATACCAGCATTCACAAGCTGAATACATAATATGTAAATATGATAATTCACATACATAACATGGTGCATAATGAATGCAAATATTACATAGAATTAATACATGTTCTGTAATACTTTACTATACATAATTAATAGAGTAATATAAGAATACACAGCTTAAGGTACTACTTCGTGTCCATATTATACACACCACCCAACCCAGAGCAAAATATTAACCCATTGTAAAGTTAAAACGCGGATATATGAGGAAAAGGAAGTACTGTAACAGTGTGCATAATTTGGCTACAATAACTTAGCTCTCTTTTATGATAGAAAACTGTGAGAATGATAACGTTGTCTTTCTATGCAAGTGATAAGTGAGGTGTTAATATGTTTTGATGCAGAGTGGTGACAATGCGTGTGAAGATGCTGGTGGGAATTGTGTGAGTAAAGAGGAATGTGAAGTTAAACCATCTGCAGCAGACTGCGAGGAGGAAGATGAAGTCTGCTGCATTACTCCTTCAAGAAATAGTAAGTGCTAATGTAATAATAATAATAATCATCATCATCATCAACATCATCATCATTATTATTATATTATTATTATTATTATTATTATTATTATTATTATTATTATTATTATTATTATTATTATTATTATTAATAATATTATTATTATTATTAATATTATTATTATTATTATTATTATTATTATTGAGTAAAATAATAGTGCAGTTTACAGCTGGGTTGGCATTTTTTAGACGAAAGGCATACCTTAGCACGTGTGTACAATATTAACAAAGCCGGCATGCGTTATGTATGCTGTAAATGGTGGAAGTACACAATTTCTAATATACTTAGATGGTGCAGGTAAGCAGAAAGGCAATTTGACACATGGACATCCAATAAATCCACCAGAAGATTATTTTTATGAGAATGACA